GTCTTTTTTCCATTTCTGATGAAGTCTACATGAAGAAGTACCATTGCAGGTGGTGATGGATTTGCGCTAAAAATTAACGAAATGCTTGTCGTTCTAAGCGGTTATGTTGGAGTCGATATCATTGTAAGGGATCGCTGTTGTATTGCCGTTTTGTTAAAATACATTTGTAACCTCATGCACTTTTCTATAACCATTGCAATCCTAAATTATCAAAAATAACATGCTTGCTGAAGATTCGCTTGAAAAAAGTTATTCGATGTCTCGATCAAGTGAATGACATCAACTTTTGGTGATTGGCGTCGTTTGGGCGAAATGCAGTGTCTACTTCAGGGAAATAACATTCATACCTTTCAAAACAATTTTGCGCCGAGAGATTTGGAGTCAAAGTGGATGTCCTGGTTTGATCAGCGCGCGGATTTACTACCGCATAAATGTAAGCATGTAGATTACCATATATGTGAGCGTATGACAAGTGGGGTTTTTTTCGGGGATATTCTCAACAACTCCAAATGGCGATAGTGTCGAAAATGAGAGTCTTATGCATCATCAGGGGCATTTGAAGCTGAGGGAGTTTTTTGTCAGTTCAGCTGAGTGAAACTCGTAGAATGGTGCTCTCGAGGGATTGTTCACATTCATTCCATATTGCTTACTAAGAAGAAAGATTCGCGAAATTGGTTATTCCACATGATTCTTGGCTCGTTCTCATGATGGCATTACGTTTAACATTCCACTACCGGTATTTTTCTAGGGTTGGAATTGAAACTTTGCATTTCTTCCGTTTAATGATGCTATTAAACTATTAGTAAAAACACAAAATCTTTTTTTTTGCAGAAACATCGCTGTAAGGGCTGTTGAGTGGATGCCCTGATTATTTATATGACATTCATTTCTGGAGTTAGACGTTTGGCGCAATTGGACATACTAGTTCTGCCAAAATAGATATTATCATAATCAGCGCACTGAATACCCCATTAGTAACTCACTATGTATTTTTTGACCTTCGAAGTTATAGTGCAGCAGGCGCTTGTATTAATTGTAATATTAGTTGAATGGTACACGCCTGAAGGCAGTCTCGCGATAAGCCTTTACCGTTGAAATGTGAATGTAGAGATGCCAAATGATGCGTTTGTGAATGAAAAAAAAACAAGCAAAATGGTCAAGAACCCGAACGGCACCCTCTTCTCCCCCTCCCCTGATTACAAATTGGACGAGCTAACCAGGGGTGTTTACCCTTCGCTGGCCGCTGAAACATCTATACTTTTGTAATTATACCGTTCGTGTCATTTCATATTTATTATTATCGCCACTATAACATTTCATTCGTACTGCACAGAAGAACCATGCATACCGCGAAAAGGTAAGATTCTAGGGGTGGGGGGGGGGAGTGATATGACAGGCAGCACTGAGAGGCAAATCACGCAGCACACCGTCTTCTACGTTTCGGGTACGGTATGTCTGGATCCCGTTAGATCCTTGTTTGTACCTACTAACTTTACTTATAAGCGTTTTCTAACACGAAAGCCACTTAGCGTACATGGCCCCTCCATGCACGTCTGAAAAGAAACTATTGTTCAAAAACACTGCGTACATTCACCGACTTTTGGGCGCAGTAAAGGAGGCACATTCGAGTCGTTGGGGGGGGGGGGGCACGGAATTGGCGCCGCGTGGTATAAAACTTACATTTAAAGCAACAACCCGAGATCAAATTGGTGAAATAACAGCGGTTGATCCTAAGGGCGAGGAAAAGACGTGTATGAGCGTGTTTTTTAACAAAATCGCATCAACGCCATGCATCTATCATATCTATCTAACTATCTGGCTACCTTATCCGCTATGTCGTAATTCACTTTGCATGCTAGGGAGTGCGAACATCCCGTCGAAATGTTTAGATTAGTCGCCAACTGCTGACTTTGTAAGGCCCTAGCGCCATTGTGCGCACTTTCGAGCCGCGAACAGCACATCTGTGCTACTCGTGGGCTACTCTATCCCACCCACTGAATAGATCTTAGTCACAAATTGTGCTGGGGGTGCTACTATAAGGTTTAATTCGGGGAATAGATACAACGTTTTAACCCGTGAACAATAAAAGAAAGATTCCTGGCAGTACAATAAGATTTCATGGTAATAGCACTTCGATACAAATAGAAGCGCCTCCTTCGCCAACACTGGCACTTCTGTGGCGAGAATTCGAACAAGTAACAGTTTTCAGGAGTTTTTTGGATCGTTTACCGGAGCAAACGCAGCAGAAGTCCTAGTTTTTTTGTTCTTATCGTGAACTATGGGTCTCAAGTTATGTGGTGTTCCTGTCCTCGATTTCAATACTAGTATAGGTTGTATTTTTGTACCCTCGATGTTGTGTCTTTTATTTGAGGGAACACCACCCGCCGATTATAGAAGATACGAAGCGGCGTCGAGGGGCGTGTACCATATGTTCAGACGACTGCCTCGAGCCTACTTCGCCATTCCTTTCTCTATTGCTTTTCTGAATGACCGCTGATGAGTTCAAGCTTTGTTGCTCCTTCCTGTTCCGAAGTTGTATTATGAGCACTGATTTCTCGATTGTCATTGTTTTATCTGAATGTATTTTCTTTTTATGGCAACAATAGGACAGATTATTTCAGGGCGACAGTTGTCCGTGATGTATGAGCGTATTTGTCGACGTGAAAGATCGGTCGCTAACTGACGCTAATCACTCACTGAAACGTAAAATATCCGTCTAGTATCGTCGTTCTCGCTGGGCGCACTTTGAATCGCCTCGAGGTAGCTCTTCCAGACATAACTGGAAGCTCATAATTAGTTCAGGAAGGCAAGTATGGCACATAATGAGGCTGAAGACAAAAAGACAGGAACCAGGTATAGTTGAATAGCTCCTCAGTTGCCCATGTCTTGACTTCATCTCTCTTCTGGAATGCCTAAAAATCGGTATCATTTCAGAGTCTTCAAAAAGACAAGCCCAAATGGGAAAGTGAGTTATGAGTCTTTTGATCCATTACAATATTTATTACTGTTTATGATATTCTTCCACTCGGTACAAACTTCGTGCTTAACTTCCAACTACGCGAAATAGCAGTCTGCGTGCGCTCTATGATTTACTGCAGTAAACGCTTGATTATGACAATAATGTCACAGCGCGATCTAAAATTAATTATCAGTTTTCACCTGTCACACCTGTTTGGCTGCATGCTGATTACTTTCACTGAAACGCTGAATGAAAGTGGAGGTTTTAAGGGGTTCTCCACTAGAACATACAAGGCATATAATTCTGACCATTGCACTAAATGTGTGGTACAGTCGATATCCGAAAGTTGGGGTAGGCGTGTCACCGGAAGTGACGTGCACTTGATAGAAGTTGCGTGGATAAGCTGTTGCCAGCATGCTTTGCTGATATCCAGCGATGTATGTTGGAAGCAGCTTATCCACATAGCTTCTATCAAGTGCACGTCACTTCCGGTGCCGGGTGCAGCAAGCCCCAACTAGGGGATGAGTACCCATACCCTACCCCCAACGTCGGGGATAGGAGATGGGTCCCCATCCCCTAGTTGGGGCATGCTGCACCCGGCCCCAGGTGACATGCCTACCCCAGCTATCCGATAGCGAGTATACTTTGTGTCAAATTCTCGCGCAAGACTGTGGTAGAGAGGCGAAGCACTGCTCCCTATTCGGACTAGAGGGCGTTGAAATGTTCTTTCGTGCTATGGACATTAATGGAGTACAGCTGTGATGCTAGTCGACTATGTATAAGTTTTAGTGAAGCGCCAAGTATGCTTTTGATTTTTTTCGTACTTTAGGCAGATTCCTTCAGTTTTGGTGTAAATATCATGCAGTTCCATCCTTATTTATTTTTGTTACTTGACTGTGTTCGGTGTTCTGCTCGTTTAAGCTTTTTGCGCTCGAATCTTTCTTATAATTCTTTTGTAGATCTAAGCGGTGATTATTCAACAATGTCGATATGAAGATATGTTGGACTGTAGCCCTACGTATGTAAAAAAGCTCAGTGATGGAGTGCATGATGTGGTTGCCTACAGTATTTTCTGGCATGAGTGATGGGGAAATGCAAACTGAAAATCTGTAAACAAGTGATTACCTAGTTTGTGTGGAGGGTGTTCCTTGGGCTCTTGATTTTTCGATACATTCGTGGTTTTTTGTAGGTGAGCAGGTTGTTATTAGAATCGCCATTCTGCGAAGGTCTTGCTGAGTCAAAGGCCTCATTCACTCATATATTTATATTATTATACGGCCGGAAAGGAACATGTCAAAGAAGCAACTAAACAAACACATGTTAGTACTTGATTCACTAGGAGTATTAACGGAATTTAAAAAAGTCGCGCCCACGGCTTACACGGAAAATTACTACTTATTACTTACTCGGATGCTCGTTGTCAGCCGATGATCTTCAGCGGCGAGCACACGCTTCCCTCCATTTTTGACGATCTTGTGCGGTTTGGGGCCAGTGTTGGCCCGCAACGAAACCATCAAATCGGCTAACAACATATCATAAATGCATGAGATTTTTTCTCGGCTGCGTTTGATGTTGATTAGCAGGGAACAGTCCTAGAAAAAGCAACACGGATCTGATAAATGTCGCTGTTTTCTTGAATGGCGGCTAATTTTCGACTATCGTTTAAGCTTTCCTAGCAGAACATCTACAGCCACATTCAGGACTCGTATTGTCTCCAGGTTCTTACAGAAATTAGTTGAAAAGTTTATTTCATAAGCGAAGACTTTATGCATGTTTGGAAATTTGTTTTTAGAGTGAACTTTTTTGTGTAATATATCACCTAGATAGTCGGTAAGGTTCTGGAAAAACACATTAGTGAACTAATTTGGTATCTATCGCCTATATGGAAAGGAACATTTTTGCTGCCGGGAAATAAAATGTCTTCCATCTGTATACTTCGCTTCTTGGGCAGCACTCAAATGGCTTCCTCTTTCATCGAAGTTTAGAGATGGCTTCCATCGGCTGGAAATCCTATTTGAAAGGTAAAAAGTTCGCTGTGATGAGAATCGGGCGCTCCGAGGGAAAGAAGCAGCGGCTAATGCGTCTAGGCTATCTCCAAAAATGCTTAGCGTGCGCATGGGAGCACTTCAATCATAAAGTCAATTAGATGTATTGGATGGACGCAGTTTTTATGTGGTTTCAGATTCATGAGCTTTACGGATCTGATATGTAAATTCCTTGTTACAGATTACAACGTATCTAGGCAAGCGTGATTTCATCGATCGTGGCGATTATGTAGATTTAATAGGCAAGTTGAAGTTTGGTTTTTTCTGTCATTTTTCGTGTTTTATTGACCACAAATAATACTCACCCGGTAAATGATATGGAGTCGCTATGGTCACTGAGGATGAGGGGTTTTATGCTATTCTTGTCCCTATGGTCATGTCCCCCCACCATTGATACTGTTCTTTCCCACCTGAGGTATACATTTTGTTGTGAGACCCATCGTTGACGGCTTCGCATGGTAGCGACTCACCGCTGTTAGAACATTTTATTTTGCAAGTCGAGCTGCTCAAACTGTTGGAAGTAGATTCGTAAATATCTGTCGTTCCCAATAGGGGCATAGCATCAGCGGAGACACGTGCTAGAAGGAGATCGCCTTCGGCCAAACATGTGCACCCCGTATGCGACTTGGAGCGATTATTCCAAGTTCACCTTTGAGTTATGCCAAACTATTCTTCGAACAGAGTTACGAATGGTTTTTTTTTCGCGCTTTCTTGCACGCTAGACACGGAACCGTCCTTATAAGGATTGTGAGGTGTGATCATTTACGTAGAGCCATGCTATGAGGCTGCGTTGCGTGGTACCAGCTAAAATTTCCGTCAGTGTTGTGCAGCTAGGGCTAGGTACAACCCTCATCCTAACATCCTTGGCCCTATTCGTTCTTCAGCAATCCCATTCTTTTTCGAATTGTAGTAACCTAACTATGTGCTCCACACAAGATCGACTTTCTGCACCTACAGGTCTCCATCTTTCCAAACGCGCCTCTGATGTAAGGGACCTTGTTCTGATATGCACTCCTCCTCCCCCTCCCTTTTTATATCTAACCAGCAACGCTGATGAAAAGCTGCGCAGTAGATGTTCCACTCGGCGTAAAGTTTGTCGTGAAACGAGAGCGAGCTTCGTAGTAGTTTACGCGTATTTCTGAAGTAGGGCAATAACAGTAGCAGGCTGAAGTTAGGCCGATATCAGGGTACGCGACTAGATAGAAAACACGAACAATGAAACGCGAACTCTTCTGTGGTTGCTCTCCTGAAGAGAACATGGAAAAGCTTCCTTACAATTAGTCAAACAGATCTGGAACATAAGTTCGATTTTCTATTGTTTCGAAACATTACACGGGTAAACAATTCATATTCAATGACCACGGTACGTAGTATCCTTCCTATGTCCTTCCAAGAAGTGCTTACTATTTTGGATGCATGATAAATTAACGAAGAGCATTGTGTGTTATGGTTATCTTGCTGTTAAAGGGCAGTCCAGTTTTTGGCCATTTTCCCTTGTCCAAAAAGTGTTTAGCTAACATAAATGTTGCTACGAAGTGCGGGACCCTATTCCGAAAAGTGTCCAGTTGACGTGAGCATTTCTCTAACAAATGCGGGAATCATGACAAAATGAAATGCCTGGAAGTGAATAAATAATGGACGAAATATGAATATAGGCCGATTGCGTACCCCAGCTGGCAAATTCTAAATTATGGCTATTCAAGATTTGGAATGAAGATTTTTCTTTATAGATGGTATGGTGTTGGTGGACGAGGAGACGGTGCGGGAGGGTCGACGAGTAACGGCGACGCTCTTGGCTGCATTCCGCTACGGCCGCGAGGATTTGGATGTGCTGGGATTAACATTTCGAAAAGATTTGATATCACAGCAGTACCAGGTGAACTCTACTGAGTGATTTTTGAATACTATAGCTTTCTACTTGATGCCAGAAATTTCAGGTTTTTCCACCAAATCCGTCGCAAACAACACGACCGCTTACACGTCTGCAAGAGCGGTTAAAAAGAAAGCTGGGCGATTTAGCGTTCCCTTTCTGGTTTGAAGTACCACCGCGCAGTGCCAGTAGCGTCACCCTTCAGGTGAGCTATGCCAATGTTGGCAGATGTTCAGTAAATTTTTAATACCATCGGTGAGCGTGGATTTTCTGTACGATTGTTTTTCGTGTTGCTATGGCTTTCGCTTAAGTCTTCATGATTGAGCCTGATTGTGGCGAGTAAAGTAGCTCAGTAGCATTCAAACTGAACGCTCTTTATCTTATCGCGTGGTTGGCAAAAGTGATTTAGGTTGGTAAGGTTAAGGGTCTGACGTAGCTAATGTTCTTTTGATGAGCTTTCTTTTCAATTCATTATTCATTTATTCTTTTTGCTAATTGATTGTTGAAAATGAAATTTAAATTTCACTACCAGAGAAATGCTTATAAGTTAGCAATTTAGGGAACTGTCAAAGACTAATAACAAAAGGATTGTTAGGGTGTACTAAAGGGAGGCGAAAAAAGTAGGGCAAAGTAAATATGAATGCATAGACTGTGTGTACAATGCAAGTTTCTATGCAGCACATGATTGGAACATGATACCTTAAAGGTATTTCTTACAGCCAGCGCCAGGGGATACTGGCAAACCATGTGGAGTGGACTACGAGTTGAAAACCATCGTTGGAACTCCGGATTCGAATACGAGTGATCGCCAACGACGAAAGTAAATCGTGTGCAATTCTTCATCTTGGAGTGTTTCCCAATTAAAATTGATAACCACGCCTTTGCCTTCTTTTCGCGATCTGTTGCACATTTTTAGCAGCAGCGTTCGTCTGGCGATTCGAAAATTGACGTATGCTCCGTGGGAAGCGAGACCTCAACCTACAGCTGACGTCAGCAAGGACTTCATGATGAGTGCTGGTCTCCTCCATATGGAGGCATCGCTGGATAAGGAGGTTCGCATTCTAGGTCGCACTTCTAGATTTTTCCGTCGTCACATCCTTTGTTCTCTTTACTGTGGCCACTTCATTCATTTTCCATTCCATGCTGCGAGAAAAACGAAACCTATTTCGTTGAGTTTAGTGTGGCAAACATGAGAAAATGACGCAGGTCACATGGTTTCATGTGAACTTAAATCATTTTTCACAGTTCAGTTTCTATGGCATCCTTTCCTTCTCCATCTCATCTTTTTCTCGTCTACATTGCCGCTGAATCCTTAAATGATCTTGTTTTTTCAGATGTATTACCATGGTGAATCTATCGCAGTTAATGTGCATTTACAGAACAATAGTAATAAGTCCGTGAAAAAATTGAAGGTCCGTTCTTTGGTGCCTAGTTGTTATGACTTGTAGCGCTTTAGTATGTTTTTTTTTTTGATTTTCCTTGTTACGTTTGGATCATGCTTCTTTTGTTGAATCCGTACCTTATCTTTACTGTTTAAATAATGTTGACTTTATAGGTAAGCGTTGTTCAAATCGCAGACATTTGCCTTTTTACGACTGCCTCCTACACATGTGAAGTTGCACGGGTTGAAAGCGCGTGAGTTTAGTTATGTGTACTCTCAGAATTCAAACACTTGCTGATGTCATGATATCAAGTTCTTCTTGAGCACGATATAAGCTTTCTAGTCAAATTAGCCTCCCTTTGTTTTAGTGAAGGCTTCCCAGTTGGACCTGGGGCCACGCTTTCAAAAGTGTACTCCGTCTGCCCGTTATTGCGTAACAATAAGGATAAACGAGGTTTAGCATTGGATGGGCAGTTGAAACACGAAGACACGAATCTTGCTTCGAGTACAATGTGAGTGAAACAGCTATATTCTTATCATAATTGAAATCTATATTAGTTCGGTTTTTTTTATCATTTTGAGATCTGTCAAAAGTTGTAGAATGCAACCGTCAACGACGAAGGAGAGCCTAGGCATTGTTGTTGCTTATCGAGTCAAAATACGAGCTGCGATTGCTGGACCGCTCGGCGGAGAACTAGTGGCTGAGCTCCCGTTTACCTTGACGCACGCCAAACCAGCTGAAACCCCCGAAAGAAGGGTGAGTGATTGTGACTTTTTTCTTACCTTGAGGTCCTACAATCTATAGCATCCGTGAACATCCATGTTCTTTCCATCCATTGTTCTTTTTTCTCATACAAGCACTGCTTTATGACGAAACTTGAGGATTTCTTGGAAAACCTGTTTTTAAGCCATAGATTAGCAACCGAGATTACCGTCTTTGTACTCGATTCGTTCTTATAATCGCACATAAAACCAGCAATACCCCATTGTTATGTAGACCAGTACTGTCTCACTCACCAACAATTTTTTCGCGGCTATCGTAATACCAGGGCATTGGGGTGCAATGCGTTCGAAACCTTGCTCAGCATCTCCTTTTAGGTGGGGATCAGCTCCAGATTGCGTTAGCAGTTTCCTTTTTCCTGAAGTTCTTGCCTTCCTTCTAAGTTTAGTCTTAGAAGACACCCCGGTATTTTGCGATTGGTTCGTTAATCGGTATGCCTATCTGTGTTTCCATCCGAGAAACACCTTTCATATCAGTATATGTGGTTGGGGAACAAATTAACGGGGACCGATCAGTATTAAGGGATCGTAGTTTCTTGATGTTATTATTCTTTTAATACCCTCCAGTTCAGGTGAGGGAGCGTTGAGGACGAAATGGCAAAGCCTTTCCATAGCCATAAAACACCATTCTAGTCAAATTCTTATCACTATAAATAGAGCTCAAAATTCACGGGTGTGAGGTGAGGTGCTCGCGCCGGTCACACGTGGCGAAAAATGAAAACGCGCGATGTCATCTGCGTGTTGAAACCGGAAGTTGGTGCGAGGAGATTTATTTCGAGTTGTTCGTTCTTGCTTAGCTCTCGATAGAACCCCTCAGCAGATGGTTTCCGTACAGCTCATAAATTCTGAGAATATCTTTATATCGTTTGGTTATTTGAAGTTACACAAGAACACCAGCAGGATTGCTTAGGCGTTGGAGCTCGAACCGTTTCGCAGATGTACCGTTTGACAGCATTTTTAATGCAAATATCTCATTTACATGATTATCGACCCCTGAGGAATTGAAGGCTGGGTTAGGCCGGACGGCGCAGGCCCCAGGATTCGATGCCTGGATCTCGTGCGTAGTAAGCAGCGCCATTTGCCACTACACTTCCGCACGGCAGGTCATTGTTTAGGCCACATCGCATTCAAATGCCACTAAATGTACAAATGGAAGTAGAATGCGTGCCGCATCCCAAAAGGGATTGATCAACGGCAAATGCTTTATCCTTTTATTTGAAGAACTAGATTTGTTGGCAGTTTGGTCGGCATCAGCATCCGCTCTCTTCAATTACTGTTTAATGTGCCTCTTCATATTAATGGAGTTATGTACTGAACGAAGGGTAGTAAAAATTGTTGCTAAGGAACAAGATTATTGCTGCGGGAATGGTTTCTCTGTTCAAGGCTGTGTGATTGTGATCGGATTGGGGCGACTAGAGTCATTTTGCGCTCATAGTAGTTAGCATGGCTAAAACTGATTTCAGATGCAAACATTGAAAAGGGATATTAAAGAAACGTGCAATGTTTTGAGGCGTAAATAGTTTGTTTATTGATTGTTTCCGATATGAAAACTCGAGGAGGGGATGAGAGGTAGTCTCCAGCGAAATCGTGATGCGCATTAAGGGAGGAGCAAATATATGTACTCATATCTTACAAGAAGATAGCCACCAATTTCAGGAACGGCCTATAGCAAGTCGACCCACGCAAGGAGATACGGGTCCCGATCCATTGGACATTGACTTGATACAGCTTAATGAAGAAATGTGAGTGTTTAAAAGTTAGCATGCTTTCGTATTGTTCACTTCATTTTTCTTGATACATTTTTTACGAGGTTCTATTTGCCTGGTATCACCTGTATCTCCTGAATCCGACTTGTCCTCGCAAATCTCGCCATTTACGCCACTCGGCTTCGGACCATCCGTTGCGGTCCTGTGCGCATTGTTTCCATTGTTGTCTGAACGCTTTTACCATCTGATCGTCTCATCTCATTTTAAGCCTTTAAGATGCCCGTTTGTGACCAAATGGATCCAATACGCTAGGGAACCGTCTGTTATCTTTCAGAAGCTGAGCATGAGCAACCCATTCTCGTTGACGTTTGTACTTTCCTGGATAGAATTCTATGTATTACCAATTGGATAGAAGGGTAGAGATAGCTCAAGTATTGGTCCAGTCGGCGTGTGAAAAATCCTCGCGTCGCTGTTGTTTTTTATCTAGTTATAGAAACACACTTTTGGAAGTATGCTAAAATTCTAGCTCACGAAAAGATTAAATATATAGACATTAGTGTACTTGCTAGTCAGGTGAATACCTCCGCGGGAATTCTCACTGCCATCCTTTTTTTCAATCCATCCTTATTTTTGCATCAGTAATGCTTGTCTACTCAAAAATTTGGACACTACGGGAGAGACCGCCTCTTATTTGATTCTCTTTGAACACCATTTCACAGCGCGCCGCTCCGCGAAAAGTTGAAAAGTAGAGGGTCCAGGCAGTCAGCTAGAATTTGATACTTTCACTGCAATGTAGTAGTAGGAGGGAATCAGTCGAAGAGGAAAATGCAGTGAGATATATGCCAACGACGTTTAGCAAAACATTCTCCGTGGCTCTCTCGGCAATGCAATTTTCTTGCTAGTCCTTAATAAAATACGTATTCATAATAATCATACGGCATTTCAGCAACGATTTGCGGATGGATGACGACGATCTTATATTTGAAGATTTTACGCGTCTCCGTCTTAAAGGAGCCGATTCCACGGATGAGGCATCTCCAAGCGTGCAATCACCAAGTTTGATTTGATTCCTCTATTGATTCACTACGGTAAACTTATAACTTCGAGTATCTAACTCGTGTTTAACAAGAGAACACTTTTCTTTTCATTCATGTTTCATTTTTTTTCATACTTGAACTTTTTTCATTTTCATCCTTTAATATGAAGTAGTCAACTCGTGCTGTTTGAAACTTTGGTTTTCTTTCTACTGGTTTTCTTGGAACTTGGATGTAGTTGTAGAGATTGATTAGATGAGATGTCCATCCTTGAAGTGGTGCTCTTACAGTAAAAACGAGATTTTAACAGGAAGGTAAAGGAAGGCCGCTTGACCACTCTACTTTATACATTATCAGACAAAGCAGGCAAAACTTTTTTTTCGTCACTGGAATCACTTTGGGTTTTGGGCTAGTACGCAACATATTACGAATTTTGAATTTTCCATATTTTGTTCGCCCTGATTTGTCTGATAGGAAATTTCCCTCATTCGCTTACCAGTAACGCTTGTTTTATTAGACCAATGCCGGTGTTATGTGATTTATAAGTAACCAGTCACGTTTATCAGCGATAATAATGTTGATTTGCTCGCGCTTAAGCTTGGCCTTATGTCTTGCGTTCAGCTATTTCGTACAGGGTTCTGGTGTCTCTTTATCTATCATCAAGCCTAGAGTCTTGATTTCCATCAGTTTTCAAATTACTGTGTTCTATTTGTCTCCATTCCGATTAATTACTAGTTTTCGTTGTTAGTTGATTTTACGGCATGCCCACGCTCACTCAAATGGTTGATATGCAAAATGATTCGGTAGGATTCCCTTCAGTTACGATAGAATTAGGTGTGGGTTTTGCGGTAAAGAACATCGAAAAAAAAAGATCAGCAGGATGAGTTTTATGGGCTAGGCGTATACGCAATGGAATCTTGTTTGAGTTCTTATTAAATGCGTTGTCATTATTTTGCCAACTACTTGGTAAAGTTTATTTAACCATTATTACTTTCCATTCACCCACGATGCGCATAAAACTTAGCTGCTTGCTTTGATGTCCAAGTGCTGCTAAGACTGGGACGTCATGTCTAAACCACTGTAACGAGCGAAAGCAGAAAAATAGAATGAATAGGATAAATAAAAAGGATAAAGCATTTGCCGTTGATCAATCCCTTTTTGGGATGCGGCACGCATTCTACTTCCATTTGTACATTCGTAGTGGCGTTTGAATGCGATGTGGCCTATACAATGACTTGCGGGGGCCAGCCGATGTACAAGTCAGTGTTTTTATCCTCCCAGACAAGTCTGGTACCAATTAACCGACCCCGGAGGGATGGAAGGCTTGGTTGGCCCGGGCGACTCACGACCCAGGATTTGATCCCCGGACCGCTCGCGTGGTAAGCGTGCCACTTGTCACTACACCACTTCCGCCCTACATGAATAGGATACTATGTTTGAAATAGTAAGAAAATACTCCATGAATTAATTAACTCGTTTACGTTGAAGAGCATGACGTCTCCCGAACATTCATGCCATAGCGAGCCTGTACAGTTTTACTTGAAGTTTTGGGTTGTGTGCAGTCATCGCGTAGCATTGTGCCCACTTAGAATATTTTTTTTGCTAAATTTTGACTACCTCACTCGTTTATCACGGGTTGTGCGTAACATGCGAATGTACTGCTCCATCGTGCGTTGTTGTGCGCGCTTACTGTCTAGGTTGTTGGAATACGATCCAGGCGCTGTACGTATTGCCTTTTATGCACAGAACTCAAAAGTCGCTGTCATCTTCTTTGTAAACGGCGTGCAATTTTGAAGCGAATCGCAAGTGGGCGTCACGTTAAGCGTTGATTTTTCCGCTGAACACCCAAAGTTTTGTCTAGGTCTTTTCCGCGGTCTTACGCCAGTTCGTGTGGGAAACCGTGCATACAGCATTTGGTGGTAGAGTGGCTTGCAAACGTTTTATGTTAATTATTTGCATTTTTATCATATTTCCTATAGTCAAATAGTATAGGTGAGACGCTTCTGTATTGCATCATGTTCTGAACATTTCCTTGCTAGCTTGCCCTTTTCATATGGTTGTTGATGGCTCAACTGTTACATTGTGGAACTGTGGCTACGGTTTTTGATGTCTCCTGTAAGTAAGGCACATACGTAAATGCGTGGACTTTGTAAACGCCAGTGATTGCAAACTGAGTCCCAAAAAATGTCTGTATTGTCATCGTTTCTTCTGTCCTTCGTATTCTTAGTTTGGCGTTGACATGAGTTCCACAACCTACGGTATCTGATTGTTGTTCCATTTGAAACTGTGGTTCAATCCTCAGTTGGCCGCCTTATTTTCATTTTGTTAATTTTTATTTATGCGTGATACATAGGCGCTGCTAATCATTGGTTGTTAATCTATTATATTTTGTGCGCATAATTCTATTTTCGATTGTATAGTATTCTTGGTATGATTGAGGAGATGTTATGCATATCGCTACTATCTGAGGGAAATTATGCCATTTAATATGATTGTCTATGCTACGTGCGTTTTTGTAGGATTGTTACTGTGATGTTGGATTCTCGTGAGACTCTTGGAGGAGGACGAATCTCGTCTTGTTTTGATGCTTTGTACATTCAGCTGCGCGTCGTATCGTTTTGCTGACATTGATAAATAATTGTATCAAACATTCGCTAGCTGGCCCTTTCAATTCATCATTCAAAAGGCACTTTAGATTTGGTATTGGATAGAAGCCAACGGAATAGCGTCCAATCCTTACCCTCAATGATACTGGATGCTGGTGCGTGATGGGAAACCTGTTTATGATTGGGGGTTTGCTTTTAATATTAGGTTGGTCCATAAGTCTTGCAACAAATTACATTTAATGCTAGAGAATTTTGTGAGAACTCCGAAAATTCCGCAACATGTTTGTTGACGTAGCATCACCTTTGCAATTTCAGCCAACCGTCCAGCTCGTTGTCTCGCTACTTGTTATGGATATTACACCGATTTCGCGAAAAGCTCTTCGTGCCCTTAATTTTTACGAGTACTGCTTGGAATGTTCCGCAAGTCATGCTACACCAAGGATTAGCCAGAAGATGGGCGAGGGCACGCTCTCTCAATTCACGTGCACCGGCGCTTCACTCTGCTCAGCGTTGACTTTTTTATTTGAAGATGATCCACACTCCAACCACCCCGTGACTGGCAATCACGATGCTCTATCTGACGCTGTTGAAAAGGGATCTGGATAGAGTATCGATCATTTGCTAGAGCAATTCCGATGCGACAAGGAGACAGCACTGACCAAAGACTTGTAAAGATCCGAAAATATAGAGTTTGGATCCCCACATGCCTTGAGCCCGAATTCAGCTCCAAACACGATCTGACATCATCATGTTCAAGTCGACTTACTATGGATTCTTCGATTGACCATCCATCACATTTGCCGAAGATGAGGAGTGGTACAGTGTGCTAACAAATAAACAAGCGGCGGTAGTCCAGCTCAAACGCTTCGGGAGTTCTTACTGCTAAAGTTCAACCTCGTCCAAGTAGGGCCTTCTCGGATTTTTGGTGGAACACGAGAGGAGTTGAGCTCTGGAAACCCTACGTGTAGATGTCGCAGTCAACGCGGAAGTCAACTATCCACAGCTCGAATGCAACGCTTTCAATACGAAAGAAAAACAAGGCAAAGTTTGCTTTTTATGACACCGTTGAACCACCTCTTGCTAAGAAAATTCAGGAAAATTTTGAGACTCTCGGACGGAGAGTTCTTCCGTATCCACCTTATAGCCCTGACCTCGTGCCAAAGGATGCCCACCTGCTCCCCTCTCCAAACCATCTCCTAGAGAAGAAAGCTCATCCTAACTATGATGATGTCAAAATCGACATCTGATCTTTCTTCGATCAGAATTCAGTAGAGTCCTACAAGGGAGGCATCGAGCAGCTACTAGTGTGTTGGCAATAGGTTGTACAGGGTGTCCCAAAATTATGGGCGCCGAAATTCAAAAATTTGTTTGGCAAAAGTACTCGATTATTCTCCCTTCATTTGCTGATGATTAGTTACACACAAAGGTCCTCTTGTAACCTGTTTGATTGTAGGTGTGAAATCCCTACTATCTTCAGGAGGGCGGGAGGTCTTTCACTGCGACCTGCGATCATTCGCATGCACGAGGTGGATACCCCAATGAAGGACAATGTCAAATATTTTGTAGTTTCCACAAGGGTTATACGGAAGGTTATCCTACGATACTAGGAAACAGCGTCCATTATGCATAGGCCTAAGAGAGGTAGAAAGGCTGGCCGTTCTGCCGGAAGGGTGTCTGAAAGGTTCCATTCTCAAATTGACCGCGACCCACGACGCTCCTTCAGAAGAATGGCGGAGGAGCTGGAGGAATCGAAGTCATCGATGGGAAAGGTAGTCAATGAAGAACTACATAGCCGTTCCTACCATATGCAGGAGTGTCAGCTCATTTTCGATATCAACAAGCAACAGAGGGTCAAAGATTGCAGAAGGTTGCTTACCCGCCTCAGTGAGGACACGCACCCTACCACCCTTTCTTATGAGGAAAAAATTTCCATAGCAGAGCGGATTGGCAATAGCCAGAAAGATTGCATTCCCGGCAGAAATGTCAGGAGTGCTACTCCACGCTAAAAGATTGCTTGCAAGCCACCGAACTTGGTCCCAATTTTGGTTTAAACGAACACCACGTCCAGTGGTAAGGGGCCGTTAGTTTTCTTTTGATTTCGGTAAGTTCATCAGCAAATCCGGACAATTGAGGTGAACATAATGAAGGCTCGGCACGAGTCCTACCTTGGAAATAACCCGAGTTGTTTCCAGCAGAAAAGTGCTCAGGCCTAC